AAACCCTCCTAGCCCAACCCTCCTAGCCCAACCCTCCCAACAAACCCTCCTAGCCCAACCCTCCTAGCCCAACCCCCAGCGGCCTCGAACTGGCAGCCACTCAGCACCATCTGTGGTGGCCCTTCAAGTCTGCTAGAGCTCTACCCACCCCCCTCCCTTGAGCAACAGATACCACACAAGTCACTTTGCACTCCTAGGCTGTGATGTCTCCTAGGCTATGATGTCTCCTAGGCTATGATGTCTCCTAGGCTATGATGTCTCCTAGGCTATGATGTCTCCTAGGCTATGATGTCTCCTAGGCTATGATGTCTCCTAGGCTATGATGTCTCCTAGGCTATGAACCTATGATGTGTCTCCTATGATGTCTTTGCTGCTATGATGTCTTTGCTAAGCTTGCTAAGCTAAGCTATGTATGTCTTTGTCTTTGCTAAGCTACTAAGCTATGTATGGCTTCAAAGCTATGTATGTCTTTGTCTTTGTCTTTGCTAAGCTATGTCTTTGTCTTTGCTAAGCTAGCTATGTATGTCTTTGTCTTTGCTAAGCTACTAAGCTATGTATGTCTTTGTCTTTGCTAAGCTATGTATGTCTTTGTCTTTGCTAAGCTATGTATGTCTTTGCTAAGCTAAGCTATGTATGTCTTTGTCTTTGTCTTTGCTAAGCTAAGCTATGTAGCTTTGTCTTTGCTAAGCTAAGCTATCTATGTCTTTGTCTTTGCTAAGCTATGTCTTTGTCTTCGCCATGCCTTTGCTTTGCCCTACCTGTCCTCGACCCTGCCTTCTTTGACACCTTGGATGCCCCCTTGCAAACTTTGCTACCAGGCCCCACCGCCGCCCCTTGAGTCGCAAAGGTGCTACAAGTACCTAGACGACGAGCTATGAAATGCCGCGCGAGCGCGACCTTGATAGGGTGGCAGCCTCGCGGTGACATCAGCGCAGCGTGGACAACGTCGCTTTGCCTTGCGGCCAGGCGACCAAGAGGAGGAAATATGTCGCACGAGCCACGCGTGAAACGCCGCAGGGGTCTGCAGAGGCTGGACGACTTCCTCGCAGCATTCTCCGACGAGGTCTGCATGAACGAAGCCGAGCGGTCATCCGAACGCGACTCCCGTGAAGCTCGGTGGTAAATCGCAAAGCTCCTCACAACCGCACGGGAGAGAGAAAGAGAGAGAGAGAGGTAGCTGATCTCATTGGTCCCAGCTGATTCCCCAAAGGCACGTGTGGCAGTTCCTGACCGTAGTGCCGATCGCTGCAGGCGCAACGGGTGCTGCATGAGCGAGGCGGCGAGGCAACGTCGCGGCGTAGCGAAGCCATCTCCCCGCTGTGTGCGCGATGGCCGTGAAGTCCGCCTCGCAGGCCCTGAGACAGACGCCAAGAGCGCCTGCCGCGGGCGGTCTCAGCTCTTGTGCCGCGCCACTCGTACAGCGCTGAGTTGGATTACACCGTCGTAGGCACGGTGCTTTCATCGTCACCGACGCGATGCGCGAGCAGAGCCTCCGCAACGAGTTTGAGAGCGAGACGGTCAGGCTACAGCAGGAGGCATCTTTGACGCAGCAGCAGCTCGCGCTCCACGCTGTGCGCGACCGTTATCTGGCTCGCGTGCATTTCAACCTCGGGCTGGCCGATGGGGCGACGGGTATGGCTGATATGGCGGACGCGATATGCGGCGGATGGGTTGCGGAAGGCGATGCTTCCACAGCACTTGCGCATGCAGCGCGGCTGCGTGCTGAGCAGGCACAGCAGCGTGTTGAGCAACTTGCACGTCCCGGTGCGCAAGTCCTGTGCCAGTGGTGCGCAAGTCCGGTGTTGTGCAAATTGGTGCCGGTGCGCAAGTCACGCACGTGCCAGTGTCACGTGCCCAGTTTATACGTGCCCAGTGAGCAGTGTCACGTGCCCTGACGTGCCCAGTGTTGTGCACGTTTAGGTCTTTTGTGCGCGACCGTGCAAGTGTCGAGCGATTCCGTGTGCGAGTCTCGCTCGGCGAATCCGCTTATAGCAAAGAAGGGGGAGGGCGTGGGTCTGCGGGCTTGGGGCGCACCCCACCCCGCTCAACGCAAACACTCGCCTTATAACATTCGTCACTGCTGTCTTTTACGAGCCGTTGCGGTTCGCTCTAACAGCTCTCGTTAAGTGCCGGCCAGAAGATCCGCCCTGGGATCTTCGGCGCAGGGCGCCGTCACCGGCCCCATGAGCCGCCTGCGAGGCCATTCAGTGCTCATGTGGCACGGCCTGAGCAGGCCTAGCAATGCCTCGGGCCGACCGGCGCCCAGAATTGTTGGTGCTGGCCAGCAACGTGGCCGGCGAGTGCCGTCGTTGCATTGGTGGCGACCACCGCAGAAGCGGTCAGCAGGTGGGAAGGCATCGCTCTCTTTGTAAGGATATTGTCCGTATTCATTGTCTGGTCAATACTTCTGCCTGGATGGCACCTGTGTGCCCAACATGGCGACCCTCGGCCTCCCTCGTGAGTCCACCTCACGCTGATCATTCTCGTCGCTAGCTCAAGCCGAGAAGTGGTCCGCCGACACCAGGAGGAGCGCAACCATCATGGCTGCAGCCTCAGACTGACCGGGTTAGGTCATATCACCGGCGTGGTGGCCCAGAAGTGCGACATTTGCTGCCCGCAGAGCGCTAGCAGCCCACTAGCCGGCACGTCTGTGCGTCGTGCGGGGCTGAACTTCAGGCACGCTGCACGCGGCTTATCGTCGAGAAGAGCTCAACCCCGGCCAGTGAGTGATGGATCTGATCATAATCAATCCCTACTGTGCTGGGGGGCTCACAGATCAGCCGTTCAGAGCTCTGATATTGGTTCCCGGCAGAAGATCCTCTAGAGGATCTTCTGCGTCGGCCAAAAAACCGTGTTCAAACGAGACACAATGACCCAACAATGACCCCCACGGCCAGCCCGGACATGCAGCCGACCCGGCCTGGCCAGCTGGGCCATCGGGGCGGCCGCCATCGGCCGTAGGACCGCGCTGCGGTGCCGAAAGGGGCTGGAAGATCCGCCCTGGGATCTTCGGCACTTCTACCCTTATAAGTCTCTCGTGTCGGCGCCGACGCTCTTTTAACGTAGAACGTCCCAGCTGAACACGAGAACACCGCCCGCCGACGATCGATCAGTCCACAATCGTCGGCCCGCAGCGACCCGCAGCGATGGATGCCGCCGCCCCCCCGGCCCCTACGGCCGACGCGCCGATGCACGACCGGCCTCCGTCGGACGGCTCTCCAGCCTCTCCGGCCGCTGCCGCCCGCGCTGCTGCCGATCCAGTCCCTCTCACGCTCAGCGATACCCGCACAACCTACGACAACTTTGAGGTCGCCGGCTTTGGCCAGGTGCAGCCACCACCTGCTTGCCTCCATGTTCACGCTTCGCGCCCCTCCCCCCCCGCTGACGCCGCCGCATGACCTTAGGTGAGGGGCACGACTACCCGCCTGGAAGGCGCTCTCATCAGCAAGTCACCCAGGCACCAACTCCTGGGCGTTTACGCTTGACTGCGAAACCATGCAGTGGATGCAGCTCGATCAAAACGGCGACGCCAACAGCTGGCCCCTGGGCGAGTTCCTTGCGCTCAGGATGAGGTGCGAGCCATGATGCTCGACTATCAGCGTGCACCAAGTCGCTCACATTCCGTGAGTTCGTCAACGGGCCGAACTCTCCAAGTCGACGGCGATCTCGAACTCCGACAACTGGGCCGGTGCACCAGCCACGGAGGACGATGGCTCCCTCGACGACATCCCTTCATCGACGGACGCCTTCACCGCCGCCGGCCCTGGGCCATCCAGCGCGGCCTCCGACGGCCTGCACGTGATCGAGGTACAGAAACGGTGGCTGCCGCAGCTCACACCCTAATCTATCTGCCTTAGGCACGGAGCCAACGGAGCCATCGCGCATGCCCGCATCGCGTGCGGCTCCGAGGTCTCCCGCCAAGACCGGCTCGGCGCGGCGCGTGGCCGCACGCCGCCGTTGAAAAGGCGATAGGAGAGGGGAGAGCGCCGGCCACATCGAGCGAGCGCTGACGTGTAAGGTGTCTGCGCTGCTCCGGTGTGTGTGGGAATATGCCTCCCCCCATCTGTGCGGCGAGGTGTTTGCGGTGGGTGCGAAGGCCGATCGTGCGCGATAGCCTCCCATTGTGCGTGGTGTGTCGGTGTGTCGGTCGTCCGGAGCGTGTGGCGGCGCCGTTGCATGCAGCGACTCTGCTCACGTGCCACGACTGCTTTGACTGACTTATGAGTGCTGATGGATGATCTCCGACAACCCAAAACCAAAATGAAAATGCGGAGTGGCCCCACTTTGGCGTGCAGATCCTGCGTCTCTCACTGCCCGAACAACAGAGGCGGGTCCGCCGCAGGTCCCCCACTAGTAAGAGATAACATTCGTCACTGCTGTCTTTTACGAGCCGTTGCGGTTCGCTCTAACAGCTCTCGTTCCGTGGCTGGAGGCTGGCCTGCCAATCTGGCACGAGCGAATTGACGCGAGAGATGGATAGACAGTCAACGGCACAGCACCCGCTGCAGAAAGGTTAACGCCATACAGCTGCGCCGCCATCGCTAGTCGCCGGTCTGAGCCAACTTCCGCTGCTCGTGCACATCACTGCCGTCTCCGCGTTCGGCGGGCACAACGCTGGGCACGGGCCATGTGCAAGCGTGCAACGGGTGGGATAAGGTGGTCCAACCCCGACGAGGAGAACGCCGATGGGACCAGTTGAGGACGGACCAGTTCAGGGCGGGCCCGTCCAGGCTCGTTGAGGGCGCGAGAGAGGCGGGGCCCTCGAAAGGGCTGCCGAGATTAGGCTCAGACTGTTAAGTCTGAACCAGAGTACCACCTTCGTACGTTCCATCTGGGTGCCGCACTTCCCGATCCTGAGCTGTTAGAAGCACTCATAGTGGTTAGGTTTTCATTCTGCATAAACTTGCAGGGCCGGCCACGAGCCAGTCTCGCGTGTGCCGCACAGAACGTGGACTGTGTTCGCTGTGTGCGGAGGAGAGACCGCGCCGCGGCGCTGGCCGCTGCCGGCTCCACCACACAACCCGGACGTCCGGGGGCAGCTGCAGAGGCTCCGGCAACACGCCCGCAGCATTGGCGGCGCGCGTTGGTTGAGTGGTGTTGGGGAGATGGGCCAGCGCTCGAACATGTTTTCACAGAGATGTTTCATACCTGCGTCCTGCGTAATACTCATCTCACAGACGCATCACCATCAGCTTGGAGGACGGCACGCGAAGAAGCAGTCGAGGTGCGCAGACGGCTCCGCGTACAGGCAGACGAACGCGCCGTGCGGCCAGGCGGACCCGTCCTCGTCGGCGATCTGCTGGCCCGGCGCGAGCCACCAGTGCTCGTCGACGCCGCAGTCGCGGAGAGACGGCAGCGAGGCGGGGTTGCACAGCCCGCGCTCGAGCAGCACCTCGCGCACCCGCGCGCCATGGCTCAGCTCGTCGAGCAGCGAGTTCGGCCCGTCGAAGGCGAGACCGACCCCCGGGGAGGCGGCGCGGACGCCGCAGACGCGCGAGAGGCCGTCAAAGTAGACAAAGCCGCCGAAGACGACGAAACGCTCCTCGTCTGACTGAGGCACCAGTCCGGTGCCGCGGGCGCCGGCGAGAGGGAAGGCCCACGCGAAGAGCGTCGCCTCTGCAGGCGCGGCGGCAGCCCACGCGCCTTCGCCCGCCGCCACGGGGTGGAGCGGCGTGATGCGGCCGAAAGCGGCGAGGCCGTGCTCCGCCACGCGAGAGAGGGCGGCGCTCTCGAGGCCGACCCGGTACGACGCCTTGCCCGCCTCGTGCGCCAGGCCGATGGCGCCGGGGCGGAGCGGCGAGAGGGTGAGCGAGAGGGGGCCGGGCAGCCTCGGCTCCGCCACCGAGCTCGCACGGAGCGCGCGGCTGCTCGGCGCCGACGGCAGAGAGTGCGCGAGAGTGTGCCTCGCCTGCGCCTCGCGCTGCATCTCCTCGGCCTTGGCGAGGTGGCGACGCGCCTCGGAGAGCACCTTGCGCAGCCCCTCGTCCGCCCCCGCGTGCTCGAGCAGCACCGCGCTCGTCTGGATCTCGGAGTACTCGGCGACAGCAGCCTGTGACCTCGGGTCATCTCGGGTCATCTCGGGTCATCTCGGGTCATCTCGGGTCATCTCGGATCATCTCGGGTCATCTCGGGTCATCTCGGGTCATCTCGGGTCATCTCAGGTCCTCTCGGAGTGCTCGGCGACGGCAACCTCCTCGTCGAGCTTGCGCGTCATGTTTGCGAATCTCGATCTCGGGTGAGATCTCGGGAAATCTCGTCGCGCCTCCTCGTCGAGCTTGCGCGTCATGTTTGCCGCCGAGACGAGCGACTGGTACTCGAGCCGGAGCAGCTCCAGGTTCGGCCCGCCGCCGCTGCCCAGGCCCGAGGCCCGCCGTGTGCTCGCCTCGGCCGCAGCGCGCCGCTGGCGCAACACCTCGGACGCCTGTCGGAAGAAGAGCCATCTCTCTGCTCTCTCTCGGCTCTCTCTCGGCGAGATCCGGGGCGCCTGTCGGAAGTACAGCCACGCCACGCGGGTCAGCGCGCGCCCCTCCACCGTCAGCCCGCCCTCCATCACGCCCGGGTTCGTCTCGCGCCCGCGACGGTTCCACAGATCGTGCGTCGCCTTGGCCTGCCGCGTCGTCTGCTCGGCGGGGGGCGCCTCGAGGCGGCGGGAGTGGAAGTCGATCTCCGCCCTCGCGAGTCGCTGCAGCAGCTCCTCCATCCCCGCGGACCTAGGTAGCCCAGTCATTCCTCAACTCATCCATCAAGACGAATGAGACGCAGCCAGCTCCTCCTCCCCACCGCACCCCTGCTGCAGCTGCTCGTTCTGCCGCTGCGCCTCACGCAGCTCGTCCCTCGCCTGTTCGCAGCTGGAGGCGTGAACAGCGCCTCTTCAGAGCTGCGCCTCACGCGGCTCGCCCCTCGCCAGCTCCACCTCCCCCTCGAACATGCGCACCTCGTGCGTGTGCCTAAAAGAAGAAACGACCGCCGGTAAACAAGACACACCGCCGCGCACCTCTGCGCACCGTGCGTGTGTGTGCCTCCGGCCGAGCAGCTCGTAGTTGGAGAGCTCGTCGAGCATCACCTGGTGCATCGCCCGGTGCATCGTCTACCCCCTGGCGACTCGTGCGGAGATGTGGGGCGCTATGGCGAGATATGGCGAGATCTCCTCGAGTGTGTGTCTCTCCCGGGCGCATCTCGCCTTGGGGGGTCGAGCCGCCCGTCAGCTCGATCTCGCTTCAATCTCGGGTCATATCAGCTCATCTCGGGTGATCTCGCCTGGTTCTGCCGCTCCAGCTCCTCCCGCTGCCCCATCTCGAGCAGCAGCGCCGCCTCGAGCTTCTCCTCCTTCTCCGCCGCCTCCGCCTCCAGCCCCTCGCACCGCGCCCTCCATTCCTGCGCAAGACGCTCCGCCTCCGCCACCTCCGCCCGCCGCCGCTGCTCGAGCGCCTCTGCCCGCTGCTCCGCCTCGGTCGTGAGGGCGGCACGCAGCAGCTCGACCTCCGCCCGATGCTCCGCCTGCAGCCGGCCCAGAGCTCCTCCCTCGGGACTCAATCCAACGGCTCCTTCACCCCCTCACTCACTGATGGACCGGCCCCTCGCCTGCAGCCGCTCCAGCCGCGCCACGCCGTCGCAGCGCAGCTCCTCCTCCGCCTTCTCCCGCTCCGCCGTCAGCCGGCGCGCCTCCTCGCGGGACGCCTCCATGGCGGCGAGAGCGCGGTGGGACGCGTCCTGCAGCCTCTGCTCGGTGCTCGCCAGCGCCGCCTCCGACCTCTCCCGCGCCTGTCGGACATGTCTCGGACATGTCGCGGACGTGTCGCGGACGTGTCCGCCCGCTCGAGGCCTTCTCCGCGCCTCCCTCTCTCGGCGCGACTCCTCCTTGGACGCCTCCTCCCCCTCGCGCGCCTTGTCTGCTGCAGCCCGCGCCGCCGCCGCCGCCGCCGCCTGCGCCTCCGCCACGGCCTTGGCCGCCGCCATTGCGGAGAAGGCCTCGCCGACTTCCTCCTGCGCCCTCGCCGCCTTCTCGGCGAGGGCGCGCGCCTGTTCCTCCGCCGCCCGCTGCCGCTGCGCCGCCTCGAGCAGCCTCGCCTCCTCCTCCCTCCGCGCCTCCTCCAGCGCCGCCTCGTCGGCAGCGCGTTGCGCCTCGGCTGCGTCCGCCGCGGCCCGCCGCTCCTCGAGCTCCTGCTCCACCGCTTTTCATCAGTTCATCCATCCGTTGAGAGCTAATCCAGAGCTCGAGCTCCTGCTCCATCATCCCAATCAATTCGTTCAGTGAGTGAGTGAGTGATTGAACGGCTTAGTCCTCGAGCTCCTGCTGCATCGCCGCGCGCGTCGCCTCCAGCTCCGCATCCTTTGCCCGCGCCTCCGCCTCCGCCTCCAGCCTCCGCTTCTCCGCGTCGACCGTCGCCGCCTCCGCCGCGGCGAGCATCGCCGCGTGCGCCTCCTCGCGCTCGCGCTCCATCTCGGCGAGCCTCGCCTTTTGGGGAGAGAGGGGGAGAGAGGGGAGAGAGGGGGAGAGAGGGGAGAGAGGGGGAGCGCTCGCGCTCCATCTCGGCGAGCCTCGCCTTCTGCTCCGCGGACATCGCCTCCGCCTCCCGCTGCCGCGCCCGCTCGTCCGCCTCGCGCCTACTCTCGACGCCCCCCCGCGCCCTCTCGACCTCACCTCGCGCGATCTCGACCTCTTCTCGCCCACATCTCGAGGCCATCTCGACTGTCTCTCGGCTACGTCTCGCGCCGCTCGCGCAGCTCGCGTGCCCTCTCCGCGAACTGCGCCTCGAGGCCCGCCGAGCCGAAGACCATCGTGCGGCCCAGCTGGTAGTCCTCGTCGGCGAACCCCGCCTGCGCGAGATTCCTCGAGATGCGGTCGAGATGTACCGAGACCTGAGCTGGCCCTCCTGTCCGCGAGGCCCGCCTGCGTCAGCAGCTTGCGCACCATCGCCTTTCGCTCCGCCGCCGAGCCGCCCCAGGCGAGGCGCTGCTCCTCGAGGGTGAGTAGGTCGCGAAAGTCGTCGAGCATCGACAAAAAGGTGCGGCGGTACGGGAAGCCCGCCTGCGCGACGCATGCGGGAGATATGGGGAGATGTGGGGAGATGTGGGGAGATGTGGGGAGATGTGGGGAGATGTGGGGAGATGTGGGGAGATGTGGGGAGATGTGGGGAGATGTGGGGAGACATTGGGCGAAAGGAAGTTTGCCTGCGCGACGCATGCGGCGGCGAGCACGCCGCACGACTGCAGCTGCGACCGCACCAGAGCCTCGTCGAAATCGAAGGGCGTGCGGCGGTCGTTTGGCTTGATGCAGCGTATGAAGTGCTGGTCCGTCGCCGCGAGCGTCTCTGTCAGCTCCTTCATCGACGCGGCGAACTGGCGCGCCACCTCGCCGCGGCGAGAGTCGGCGGCGCGCGCGAGGAAGAGGTCGCGAACAAACGGCCAGCGCGAGGCGGCCATCAGCGCGGGCAGCTTCGCGTGCAGCTCGTCCTTGTTCTTCTTGAGGAAGGAGCGCGCCACATCGCCGCCGCCCGCGCCGCCGCCGCCCGCCGCGGTGTACGTGACTTGGGCGGAGAAGTGGCGGACGGTGAACGAGGTCGCCGGCTCCGCCGCTGCCGGCTTGCGGTACGCCGGGTGCTCCGCAAAGCGACGGTGCAGCGCCTCGACCAGCCGCGCGTCGTCGGGAGGCTTCGGCGAGGCGGTCTCCTCGTTGAGGATGGAGAGTAAGCCCGGCCGAGGGTAGCCTCCGCGCCGCTTTGCGCCCTCAAAGAGCTCGAGGACGGCCGAGTTGTCGGGCGAGTCGATCAGCTCGACGCGGATGCCTACGTGCTGAATACGCCAACCTCAGGGCACGAACACGGCATTGTGCAGCGCGTTGAGAGCACCGCGTGAGTACAACGGATAGGAAGACAGTGAATACAGCGGAGGACGTGGCCCTCTCGGGCGCTAGTTGGGAGACAAGAATACGTACTCTACTTCTAGACGCGGACGCCTTCAGACACAAACTCAGCGCGGACCAGCTCGACCGCCTCGGAGACGAAGAGCGCCTGCAGCTTCTCGTTCGCGAAGTTGATCAGCAGCTGCTCGTACCCGTTTCGCTCGAACGTCTCCATACCAAAGATATCGAGCAGGCCGACGAAGCTCGAGGGCGGCGCCGCCCCGCCGCCCGCCGCCCCGCCGCCCGCCGCCCCGCCGACGGCGTCGCCGACGACGGAGGCGAGGGCGAGGTTGGTCGTATCGACGAGCCGCATGAAGAGCAGCTCGTACAGCGCCTGCGCGAGCGCGTCGCGCGCCTCCGCCGCCTGCTCGCAGCTGCTCGCCATCTCGACAACCTCGCTCGCCGTGTGCAGCGACACCTTGACCAGCGCCGTCTCGAGCTCTGCTGGCCCGACCTGCGTGGCAGGTGCGTGGCAGGTGTGTGGGAGGGAGGTGCGCGGGAGGCAGGTGTGTGAGGTGTGTGGGACGGAGGTGTGTGGGAGGGGGGGGGTGGGAGGGAGGTGCGTGGCAAGCGCGTGGGAAGTGCGTTGTGACGGGATGCTTCAGCGTGACAAGCTCTCCCAACCTCGAGCAGCGCCGCCGCGGCCTCGAGCGATGCACGCGAGGCGGGCGCCACGCGCGCCGCCGCCTCCCCCCGCCCGCGGCTCTGCTCGTCCGCGTCCGCAAAGCTGATGTTGCCTGTTCTCATCCCGCCATTCATCAACCACACCTCATAAGACAGAGATGCTCGACCGCAAAGCTGATGTTGCCGACGTGCAGCACGGCGGCGACGCAACGCCAGACGGCGTCTGGTCCGTCGAGCGAGGCGGCGGCGGCGGTGGCGATGGAGGCGCTCCGGATGCGGTGGACGGGGCGAGGGAAGGAGCCGCGCTTGCGGGTCCCTTCGCCGCCGCTGGCGTGCGAAGCGGCGGGCGAAGCGGCGGCCGAAGCGACGGGCGAGGGGGCGGCCGAGGAGGCGGCGGGCGAGGCGGCTGCTGCGTGGGTGCGAGCGACAACCAGCGAGCCCGCCTCCTCGACGGGCGGAGAGGCGGGTGGGTGGAGGGGCAGGTCGAGGATAGACAGAGGCGCGCTGCGCCCGTTGGCCGTGCTGCTGTCGTGCGGTGGCGGCACGCGGGGCACCGCCCCCTCGCCCCCCCCGCCGCCGCCGCCGCCGCCGCCGCCGCCGCCCCCGCCGCCGCCGCCGCCGCCGCCGCCGCCGCCGCTGCCGCCCGTGGCCAAGTCGGGCGGCGAGTACAGGGCGGCGGCGTCGAGGACGCTTGCGGGTTCGTTGCCCGCGGCGGCGCCGGTGGCGTTGCGGGCCACGCGGTACATCTCGCGCATTGCGGCGTCGGTCTCGGCGAAGGAGAGCGCGTCGTCCACGCCAGCGAGGCGCCTATGCAGCGGCGGATGCGGCCGAGAGATGCAGCGCAGAGGCAGCCGAGATATGCAGCGCGTCGCCCAGGTCTAGGAAAGGAGAGCCTCCCCCCCTCGCCCCCCTCCGGGCGGAGGTACGCGAAGCCATCCAGCGAGGCAGCCTCGTCCTCCTCGCCGCCCGCGGCTCGCCCGAGCAGCAGCTTGCGCCGCACCGCCGCCGGAGCGGCGCAGAGCTGGTAGAGAGAGTGGAAGGAGCGCTCGCCTGCGGCGTGCCTCGCCAGGCGGCACTTTTCGAGCAGGTAGACCTCGACCTTCCCGCCGCACAGCTCGCCTGATGCGCACTCCTCTCGACTCACCATACGACCATACGACGCACTGAGGCCTCGGCCCGGCCGCCGCGCAGCTCGCCTCCGCCAAAGTGCAGCTTGAGCAGCTTGCCGAAGCGGGACGAGTTGTCGTTGCGCAGGGTGCACGCGTTACCAAACGCCTCGAGGATCGGGGACGACGCGACGAGTGCCCGCTTGACAGCGGCTCCGACGGCGGCGGTGCCCTCGTCCAGGGGTGCGGCGGTGAGGTAGCGGGTGAGGTGCTTGCACGTCTCTGTCTTGCCTGCGCCCGACTCGCCGTTGATAACGACGGACTGAGGCCGCAGCGCGCAGCTCGCGTGCACCTCGTGCGCCACCTCGAAGATGTGAGGAGGCCTCTTGAGCGCCGCCTGCGAGGCGCAGCTCGAGTGAGCCCGCCTCCCAGCAGTCTCTTCCTCCCTCCCTTCTCTCTCTCTCTCTCTCTCTCTGTCTCTGTCTCTGTCTGTCTCTCTCTCTCTCTCTCTCTCTCTCTCTCTCTCTCTGTGTGTGTGTGTGTGTGTGTGTGTGTGTGTGTCTGTCGCTCTCTCTCACTCTCGCTCTCTCACTCGCTCGCTCGCTCGCTCCGTCTCTATATCCCGGCAAACACTCGCCTGCCGTTGCGCCGCCATCGCCTCCTCGCCGTACGTCGCTTCGAGGAAGGCAGCGTCGCGCTCGTACGGGTTAAGCGCGACGAGCACGCGGCCGGCGCGAGAGTAGACGCGTCGCTCCGCGTACCGCGTCCGCACCAGCGCCAGCAGCGACGGCTCATTCAGGCACGAGAGTGACGCCGCGTCATCTGAGCCCTCACGATCAAGCGGGTTGGCGCCGCTCAGGCTCGCGCGAGGCACGCTCACGCGCGCGCCGTCTTCGCGCCGCACCCGCGCACTGCCGTCCGCCCACTCAATCGTGCACTGGCAGAGCCGGATCGCAGACTGATCGCCATCCTCCTCTCCGTCGTCGTGCGCCCGCACAAAGCGCGAGCCGCGAGCCGCGAGTTCGAGCTCGCCGCGGTCCTTGGAGGCGACCTTGCCCTTGGCATTATCCACCTCTACGAGGGAGCACCAGACGTGCCGCATACGTCCGCTCCGTTTGAGCGCCGACCGGAGGGCAAGCAAGGCAAGCAAGGCCAGCAGAGCAAGGCTCGCCGACGACAGCTCCGGCGCGTTTCTTTTTTCTAGCTTAGAGAAGAGAAGGGGAAGTGCGTGCGTTAATGGAGGCAACGATGCGAGTGGTTTCGTATCAAGTGAGTCTGTCAGTAAGCGCGGGTTAGCCGTGGGTTCCACCGGGTTAAGCCACACTAACCCAGCACGGGTCAGCACGGGTTAGAACGGGTTACCATAACCCGACGCTAACCCGGCACTAACCCATCCTAACGTATGAAGGATCTATAGGCATGATACAGTACATTTGCGCCACAAGCTTACCACAAGGCACACAAGCTAATCACACGACCGCCGTGACCCCGTGTAGTACGCCAGGCAAATAGCCCAACCCCCTACACGCCCCCAGGCAGTCGAAAACACCCACACAGCGTGCGTGCGAGTCGTCGCACCAACCACAAATGACCCCGCGAACTAACCAACCAACCACGCCCTCGTCCCTAATGGCACCCTTCCCCTCCTCCGACTCCTTCCTCCCCCACCCCCACCCCTCTCCCCCGTTCTAGCTTCGCTTCTCACTACCGTCTTGCCACGCGGCGAAAGCCACGCGCGGTGCGGCGTCGTGACTCTAAATGAATGGGGACGCTTGTGGGGCAGTCACTCAAGTCGAGGACCGCGAGTGAATTTTTGAATTGCTCTTGAGAGTGTCAGCGCACGGCCTACACGACCCCTTGGTCTGGGCACGTCCCCTTCGTCACCTGCACACGCGTGGGGAGCTCTCTATTCATGGATAGTGCGTGCGCGCCGGTCCTGTGTGAGCATGCGGCGCCAAAAAACTCAGGCTCGGGCTCGGGGCCTCGGGCGGTGGCAGGGCGCAGGGGCGGCTGCGCGCCAAGCTTTTGTAGTATGTGCATTGACTGCTGTTGGGGTTGCCAGCGCCAAAGTCCATGCAGCCGGTCATGTAGTAGTCGCAGTTTGCGGCGTTTTTCTTCTTGAAGTAGCAGTAACCCTTCGTCACTGTAAGTGCCATCCTGAGTATCACGTCGGGGCATCATCGCGATTAACTCTCTGTGGTCAATGCATATGTACGGGAGCGGGCGGCGCGTTAATATCTACATGCGTCTGCGTTCGGGATCTGTGGAGAGGACGTGCACGTCCGTATGCTAAGATGCGATGCTTGGAATATGGGCAATCGGTGTTCCGTGTGGCGCACCCCGATGAACTTGCCGCACGAACCGTCGTCCCGCGTACAGACAAACTTCCCTTGCAGGCATGGGTCTTTGGGGTCATCGGGCGGCATACAAGCGCTCTCGCACTCTGTGCTTGAGTCGACGAACAGCTGGCAGACGAATCGCCCCTCATTCACGTTGACAAAGTTGGACGTAGCCGCCGAGACGTAGCCGGAGTAGTGGACGCAGGGGTGTCCCTCCCACGCCGTCTCGCCGTCACTGCAGTGCCGGTGCTCCTCCACCTTGAAGACCGAGATGCCCCAAGCCTGATCGCCCTGCTCCGGGCCGCACGTCGACGTCGGCTCGAGCAGCGCGATGTTCTTGTGATCCCACGCGCTTGAGACCAGCGCGTCCGCCTCTGACGCGTCGCCCTCGATGGTCTTTGCGAGGTGGTGCGGGAAGTCGGTGAACTTCACTGCCGTCTGCGGGTAGTAGTTGAAGGAGATGTCGGCCATGAAGTGGGCCGCCGTGTCGCCCTCCGTCTCGCTTGCCTCGAAGTCGCGCTCCTTCATCACGACGTTGAGGTTGGAGCAGAAGCCGGAGGTGGCGACCAGCCAGGTGGGGTCGTCGACCACGTCGGGCACGGGAGAGGGCTTGGGCGCAAAGGCGAGGCCGCGAGCGGTTGGCTTGACGTCGTGGACGGTGTTGGCCTGCGCACGCCGGAGTGCGCGTGTGAGGCTCAGCCTGCCTGAGTGAGTAATTGTGGCGGGACGGAGCACCGGCAGGGCAGACGCCGGCAGCGCGACGAGCAGAAGCGAGGCAGTCTTCAGCATGGCAGTCCGTGTCGGCAGTCCGTCGGGGTCAGATGATACCCCGCAAGATGAAAAACGGCGTTTTTGGCCGCCCCCACTCACCCCTCCTGAGACCTCGCGCCCCGCGACTGTCTCCCACGCTCGCAGGCGGGGTCCGCCGTGCCATTCCATGCATGATCATCGCTGGGGGCAGCGGTGCTCGTGCGACTGCGGATTCGGCCTCACCTCACGCCCTCTGGCCTGCATGCAGCTGCACGTTGCCGGGCGCCATGCCTCCGTCGAATGGAGGCCCGACTCCAGGCTCTGAGCACGTCTAATCCTTACGATCTATGTGCCCTGCGCACGGGAGGCTATCGTAGCTACGAGACCGGCGCCATAGACCTCGTGTGACATTGTGGGCGCCCTGCAGGGGGTCGAAACCGCCGACTGCTGCTCGCGCCGACCGAGCGGCACAGGCAATACTGAAACCCGCGATGATACATCTTGGCATCGCCACCGCCTAGATAGCAGCCTCCGATAGACGCCTCGCCCAAAAAAAGCTTTCTGGACTCCTTGCGGGGTAGTGCGAGCCCTGGAGGCCCTGGGGGAGACTAACTATACCCGCGGGCCTAGAATTCACAGCCTTGTTATTGAGAAGAAAATACGTCCTTTCACAGTTATTGAGTCCTTTCACAGCCTTGTTATTGAGAAGAAAATACGTCCGATGGCGCTGTTCACAGCCTTGTTATAGAGAAGAAAATACGTCCTATGGCGCTATGCGCTGGCCTGTGAGAGGTTGAGGTGCGAGCCCTGGAGGCCCTGGGGATGGGGGGAGACTACCCGCGGGCCTAGAAGGCCCGCGCGCAGGGGGGTGGGGCATTGAGACCGGTCATGAATGAGTGCGCGACACGCATGTTGCGAGCAGCGTTGTTGATGTTCTGCGCGTCGCCACAGACACGGCGGCGCGCGAGAGCTGTTGCGAGTGGTGCTGGACGTAGCCCCGGGCGCTGCCGGAGGCTGTGCCGTAGTCGGTGCGGTCGACGGCGCTCGGGCTGCCGACCTCTTTGGCGAAGTTGTGGATGATTCTCTTGGTTGGCGGCGCGATGCCGCCCTGGCTTTCGACGAGACAAATTTTGACGATTCCGGTCTTGACATGGAGCGCGTCGTAGTACTGTCCCTTGTGCTCTTTGACCCAGCCTTTGCCGGTCGCATGGACGAGCGGGCCCTGTGACTTGTGGCCGCGCTCTTTGCACCCAAGAACCTTGAGCAAGGTTTGGTCGAGGGTGCTGCCGAAAGCGAAACCAAACAAACGTGTGGCCCAGTGACGCACAGCATCCGCCGTGTGCCGCCGAGCCCTGCCCAGCTCGCCTCGTGTCTTTGTGAGGGCGCTAGGCACCTTGACTTCGTAGTGGACATCACGCTGGGACTTCACAGCCTTGTTATTGACAAGAAAATACGTCCTCCCGGGTGTGGCGCTATGCTTCACAGCCTTGTTATTGAGAAGAAAATACCTCCTATGGCGCTTCACAGCCTTGTTATTGAGAAGAAAATACCTCCTATGGCGCTGTTCACAGCCTTGTTATTGAGAAGAAAATACCTCCTATGGCGCTGTGCGCTGGCCTGTGAGAGGTTGAGGTGCGAGCCCTGGAGGCCCTGGGGATGGGGGGGGATTCACACCGAGCGGCCTCGTGAGGCGTCCCGAAGGCCGGCGCGCATGAGCAACCCGTACACGGTCCTCGGCGTCGAGCGAAACGCGTCCGAGAAGGAGATCTCCAAGGCGAGTCCCCCACCCGCCGGAGGCATCTGCCCACGCGCTTCCGGCGCATAGCGGTTGCGCCCTTGCCGTACTCAGGCATACAAGCGGGCGGCGCTCAAGTGGCACCCCGACAAGAACACCGAGCGGCCGGAGCTCGCCGAGAAGAAGTTCAAGGAGATCTCCGACGCCTTTCAGCTGCTGAATGACCCCGACAAGCGCGCGCCTTCTTCTTTGGCCTTAAAGTGTCGTAAGCAGCCCGTGAGCCCTGACCACTTCCCTCAGGCGCGCCTTCTTCGATCGGACCGGCCAGCGCCCCGACCAGCAGCCGCAGATGCGCCGCCGCCCGCAGTATGGCGGCGCGCAGCAGGCGTTCACGCAGGGCGAGAGTGGACACCGTCCCACATGCCAATCACACAGCCCCGACGCACACACGAGCGGGACAGAGAGAGCACGCCAGCCAGCGATGCCCCTGGGACCGCGGTGCTGTGGAAGGTGTACGCCGACGAGCTGACGCCGGAGGACATCTTCAACATGTTTTTCGGCGTGCCTCCCGGCGCCGGGCGGGCAGGCGCCCGCCGCAGAACAACCGGCGGGGGAGGAGGCGCCGCCGCCAGCGCCGCCGCCCCCCTCACTACCGCCGCCGTTGCCGCCTCCCCCAAACCGCCTCCATCTCGCCCTCGCCGCCGCCTCGCGCCGCCAGGGCCAGCTGTCGCACGCCGCAGACCGTGCGGCGGGCTTGACTCGTCCGTTGGAGTGGCGGCTCAGGCGGCGGCGGGCAGCCGATGCAGCTCAGCCTCGCGCAGCTGGCGCCGGTCCTCATGCTGATGGCCTTCTCCCTCCTCTCGCCGATCTTGTTTGGAGAGCGGCCGCAGGCGTCGCGGCCGAGATGCAGCCGAGATGCAGCCGAGAGGCAGCCGAGAGGCAGCCGAGAGGCAGCCGAGAGGCAGCCGAGAGGCAGCCGAGATTTTGCCGAGATCTTGCCGAGATTTTGCCGAGATTTTGCCGAGAGCGGCCGCAGGCGCGGTTTGCTTGCACACCTATAGCACGCCGCCTGCGAGTTATTCCTCGCGCCTGTCGCCTCGCCTTCCCCCTTGCCCTGCCAGTTCCCCTCCCTGTTGCTGCCTCTCCCCTCTTGCCGCCTCCCTCCTCCCCTGCCGCCTCCTGACGCCTCCCCGCCTGGCCGCCTCGAGGGGTGAGGGATGAGACCGTGTGTCCCTCGCACTCTGCCAGGCGTGGCGGCTGCACCCCTCCTCCCCGTGGCCGCTCGAGCGGCAGACACTCCGCATGGGAGTGCCGTACTTCGTCGACGACTCGTTCGAGCTCTTCCACTCAGACGGCGCGAGATTCGCCGAGATCCGCCGAGATCCGCCGAGATCCGCCGAGATCCGCCGAGATTCGATTCGCCGAGATCCGCCGAGAGAACTCGCTCGAGCTCTCCCACTCGGACGGCGCGATCAATCGCTCGAAACGGACAGCTCTGCCCCCCCGACAGGCGCCTCTCTCGCCACGGCAGAGGGGGAGGTGGAGCGGCAGACGCTCGCGAAGGTGCGGCAGCGCTGCCGGCACGAGCGTGCCCAGCGCCAAAAGATGATGGAGGCGGCGGGGCACTACCAGGGCCAGGAGCGGACGAGCATGCAGGAGCAGGCCGGCCGTGCCCACATGCGGTGGTGCGACGAGCTGTCGCGTCTGGAGGGCCTCGAGCGGTCAGCTGGCCGGCGGTGACGCGGCCGCACGCTCGAGTGTGCGCGGCGAGTGTGCGCCTCGCGACCGGATGTATTATTGATTTACTCAACCTCAGTGTGTGGTTGCCTTGTGACATCCGGGTCCAAAACGGACCCGGAGACCGTCTGGGGACCCCCCGCCATCTACACAGATATGAAGGATATGCGCGCGCATCGCATCTCGCGATACAGTATATCATCCGGCTTCCGGGTAAGGCAGGCGATAAATATTGAATATATTGCTCCAATAGTTAAACTAATTAGTTAGAGAGGCGAGATCAATATCAATATATATGGCAATAGTTACGGCTTTAGAGGAGAGGCTGGGCCTGGGCTGGTCAGGACCGTCAGGTGGGTCCATCGTCCATGGCTTGAAAGTGGCTCTAAATCGCTAAAAACGGGCCAAAATCGCTTCGAAATCGCTTAAACCGCGCATTAAAAATCGCCTTGAACTCGCGATTTTTTCGATTTCAGCCCACATCTAGGCAATGTTTGGGACAAATGTCGACATTGGTGCTTTTGGAGGTTAAAATCAGCGATCAATATGTCAATATATTGTCAATAGTTAGAGGGGATGCTGTCAATAATCAATATCAATAGTTACAGGGGCGAGAATCAATATTTATCGCCTGCCTTTCTTCCGGGCGCGCATCTTGAGAATGAGATAATAATGAATAAGGATTAAGGTGGTTCTTGAGTGTTGTGAACGAGGCCGAGCTTCTCTCAAAGTCGCATGCTGGCGGCCGCCCGACGCGGCGCTTCAGCCAGCCCTCACGGCCCGGTACAGCAGCGGCGTCAATTGGAGCACTTTGGAGTGCAGTCATTAACCTCACTCAGTCTCAGACTCACACCCAACCACCCAGGGCCGGGGAGCTAGTATGTAGTAAGAAGCGCACCCAGCGGGCCGGATGATCGGTATCGGGCTACTAGGGCCCTTAGGGGGTGCACGTTCGCAGGGAAGGGGCCATAAAGTAAACAGAAGTTGCTTGTGTTTTTTACCTCGCGTTTTCACGACACGTGTAAAACTGCTGTCGCGAAAATGCGCGCCTCAAAGCAGCCGATCGACGGCGAGCACGTCGAGGCCGGGCGGCGCCTTGCGCTCGACCCCACGACGCAGAGCTCCTTTGCCAATGTCTACCGCCGACACAAGTGGGGCGGCGTCGGCGGCGGTTCGGGCCAGGGCTCAACGCTTGGATTCACAGGCATGCGCGGAGCACGGAACACGAACAGGCACACAACGCACCAACGCAGCACCAGCAGTTGAGCAGACGGCTGCAAACGGTGTCGCGCCCGTGAGTGCATGAGTATTCTTGATACGAAACACCGACTTAGTTCGTGTGAAAAATCGTCCATCAATGCTCAACTTTACCTCTAGGCCCACTTCGGAGGGTCCTGCTTGCGCTAATCCGCTCCCTCGGCGTGCACTCAATGCTCGACATCCCTTGCGGCGCGCTTGTCTGGCAGCAGGCCCTCTTTGCATCATTGCGCGCCGCAAACCATCCCCTCCGGTACCACGGAGCGGACATCGTCCCATTTCTGGTTGAGTCACACCAGCGCAAGCGGCGGGACCTTACTTCTCCACTGCAGGGCATGGAGGCCAACTTCAGTGTCGTAGACTTCAGCGACCGCCAGGCTGCGCTGCCTGCCGGATTTGACCTCTTGCTGTCGAGGGACGGCCTGCAGCACAACACACTCCAGCAGATTGCGCGCGGACTCTACACCTTCTCGCGCGCAGCGGCAAAGTGGCTTCTTATCGGTCTGCTCACCCTTTTGCTATTCCCCTGGACCACTCCTTCCTCTGCTAGCTGGCTCCCCTGTGCTCCTCCTGGACCTATGATACCCTCTGCTCTCTGCTCTCAGCCCGGCCCTGCCTCGTCAGGCTCCTACCCGGACTCGCAAAACACCCCGATGGCGCGCGCGGGCAGCAGCCGCGTCGAGCTCGATCTGAGCGCCCCTCCGTTCTGTCTGCCTCCACGGCGCGTTTACCTCGAGACCAGTCTGCTGCACACCGGCTGCGGCCGGAATCGCACCGGAGGGGCACGGGGTAAGCCCTGTGACCACGCAAAGCACCTTTACCTGTACGGCGGCGCTGACTGGCGATCGCCGATTGTGTTAAAGTCCGGCCCCGTGCCCTCTTCACCGCTCACGCCGGCTGTGTTAATAGGCAACAGGTCGATTTCCGAGCCATGGAGGCGCGTGCGCGGCGCCCGCCGTCCAGCTGGCCGCCGTGCGCCTCTCTGCACGCCCTCGCGCTGCATGTGCTCGTGCTTGCGGCGGACGGCACACACAAGGAGTGCCACAGAGGGGATCAGCACGCACAGGCGGGCCCCGAAGGCTATTGCCAGCACGACAAGCTGTCGCGACAAGAGCCCAGAGGCGGGTAGAAATGTCGCTAGACGCCGTACGGCAAGACTCTCCATTTGAGCCGCGCAACGCCGCTGTCCGAGCGTGTTTTTGTGTGAGTCAGATTTGAGTGTGAGGCCATTTTCCAGCTTTGCACAGAGCTTTTGACTTCGTTCAACCCTTTTCCTGGCTCACACTTCGAGGGCTCACAAGCTAAAGATGTTCACGGCTGCAGATTCACGGGCCCCCTTCTAGCCCGGGGACTCTTCAGCTGTACTCCGTCTAAGAAGAAGAAGAAAACGGACAACCCAAGGGAGGGATGTACAGGCTGTCGGGCCGTTTGATTTTCTTTAATTTTTGGGCCATCCCTGGATTGGGCGTGAATTCGGTGAATGCTGACCTGCCTCGCTGCGCGACGGCTCCTCGGCACCGCTGCTCCCAGCCCCTGGGCGGTGCTCGGCGTCAGGCGCGGCGAGGAACTGGACGAGTGCAAGCGAGCCTTCCGCCGGCTGGCTCTCTCGCTGCACCCGGATGTCGCGGGCGACGACCCCGGCGCCGCCGAGCGCTTTGCCGCCGTCGTCCGAGCGTTTGAGGAGATCCGCGACGGCACCGGACCCGGCACCGCGCCGCGCGGCCGCTGGCTCCGCGGCGTGCGCTCGGTGGACGATGTGCTCACCGTCTCCGTCTCCGACCTCCGCACAGACCCGGCCTACGAGGTGCACAACCTCCTCGTCGCTCTCGACGACCCGGCCGCGCCGCCGGCGCCGAGCGGCGCGGCCAGCGCCGCAGCCTCCGAAGCCGCCGCGGTGGTCGCAGCCGACGCAGCCGGCGGCTCCGCGGTGGGTGTCGAGATCGTGCATCTCCTCCGCTGTTTCCCCGACCACTCGATCGCTGACTTGCACGGGCTGGCCGAGGAGCTGGTTGGCGTGGATGCCGCGACGGCTGGAAGGCGGCGCGTGGGGGGCAACGAGTTGGTGTGGCGTGGGCAGCTGCTCGCCGAGCACCTCTTCGTGCAGGACTACGCCATCGCCAGCACAGATATGATACACTATGTCGTGTGCCGTCAATAACTCCGGTTATGGTAACAGACGGCGGCAGAGAGATGCGACTAGAGTACAAACATGGGCGTGTCGTGTGCATGTAGAGCGACCTCTAGCCCTTTTTTCAACCATGGCGAACAACAGACCGCTCTCCGCTGAGCCTGTGTAGTGTGCTGAGGCCTGAGCTGTGACCCTGTGTGTGAGGAACACGCCGCGGAACACGGAGGATTCCTCTTACTACATCGCACCGAAACCGCCGTCCGGCCATTCACAGCTCGTCCCCATGCGGCTGCGCACGTCCGAATGCGCACGTTTCGAGTGCCTCGCGCACCGCCGCGACGCTGGGCGGCGCTGGCTTGCCGTCGGCGTCTGTGCCTGGCTCGAGGGGAATGAGCGGCGCGTGACTCCACGCCGGCGTTTCGAGCCCAGCGGCGCAGCGATCCCAGGAGGCGCCGCGGTTGAAAGAGACGTAGATGGCGGGCGCAGCGAGCCCGAGGTACTGCTCGAGCGGCGAGGGCAGGTAGAAGGAGTCGGCGGCGTATGCGTATGAGGCCTCCTGACCTGCGTGCGCCGCTGCGGACTCGAGGAACGCGGCGAGCAGCACTCCTGTGACACAGATCGTCGCAGGCTTGTCAAAACGGTGTGATCGTTGTGTCGTGGGTGTGTCGTATGGTCGTGGACAACGAGGTGCGATGGTCGTGAAAGGCAAAGGGAAGGCGTGGGTGTCGTGGAAGGCAAGGGGAGGGAAGGGAGGGGCATTGGGAGGCGGACGTGCTGGGCGCCTGCGAGCGGCAGGCGCAGCTGTGCGAGGACGAGCGGGCGCGGCGGCGCCCGAGCGCACCAATCGTCAAGCTCCGTCACGCCGTCGAGGCGCGCCAACCCAACCCCGCCGCTGCTTCCGTCGAGGTCGTCCCACGCCTCGAGCGCCTCCTCGGCCGCGCGGAGTTCCGCCTCGGGGTCTCGCCTAGTGGAGGCGCCACGTGTCGCACACTGCTGGGCCCGATGAGCGGCGAGTTTCTCCTTGCGATCGCCGCGGAGTGGTCTTGCTCTCAACCTCAATGACGGCGAGCTCGAGGACATACACGAGCGCCTCTCCTTTCTCGACGACGCCCTCCATGCCGTCCTCGCCGTAGCCGAGTTGGGCCGGCACGAACAGCTCCCACCTGTCGCCCTCGCCCATGAGTGTGAGCGCCTCCTCCCACGCGCTCACCCCCTCCTGCGGCGTGAGTGGCATTGGCCCATCACCCGCGTATGTCGAGTAGAAGGGTGCGCCACGAGGTGTCGCATTGAAGGCGGCCGCGGTGAAGCCCTCCCAGCTAACTTCGATGGGCGAGTCGACGGCAGGTGACGTTTCCCCACCGCCGTGAGCCAGAGCACGATACTGCAGCCCCGAGGGCAGGACTACCACGCCCTCTGCCTCTGCGTTCGCCTCGAGGAAGGCGAGGCCGAAGCTGGCCGCGTCGGCCTCGGCCCTTGCGAGGAGTGAAAGGCTTGCGAGTGCCGCACATGCGCGGAGATTGCGCATATGCGGCGCGTTCGCAGGTTACAGGCACAGGTGCTGGTGGCGCTGCGGGGACGTGCGCCTGTGCCGACTAAGTATGATAAGGGGCCCACAGGACCCAAAAGAATCTTACAAGAAAACTCCCCCAAAAGAAAATAGCTTTCGAAGGGACGCACGAGGCAAATCTGATGTTGGAGTGTTTCAATAGGAGCGAGGCCTCTTCCGTTGGGGGACCGAGTTCATAGGAAACGAGGGTTTCCCATTGTGACCCGCTCGCGCGCGCGAGCGTGACACTGCACTTGGCGCCGAGCGCCCGCGGCTCAGACCTTGTGCACGCCGACCCTCGGTGAGCACGCCGGTCCGGACCGATGGCGCTCGGTGTGGAGCAAGCAAGATACACCCACCCCCCATCGGCGCGCGCCCGACCTTTGAACGGCCGCCAGAAGCACCAAGAGGACTCCTCATGGCTGTGCTCAAGGGGGCTTCGACCGGCCTCGGCTGGGGGGGCGGTTGTCCCGGTTGCGGACGCGTTCTGCAGCCCCCTGGGCGTGGGTCAGCACCCCAAAACTGCCCCTCGGCGGCATATAGCACTGCCAGCCAGCCTCTTCCTCCTCCTCAAGGGCTGTACTATGGCCATATTGCGCCGCCTCCTACTGGCAGGGGCGCGCGCCGCGGGCGCCTCGGCGCGCGCACGGCTCGCAACATTCGAACGAGTACTGCCGCGCCTGGCCGCCTCACGAGGCTGCCGGGCGGCAGTACTCGCCTCGCAAGGCGCGCACCGGCTGCTCTGGCTGCTGCGCCGGCGGCCGCTGCGCTGTCCGCTGCTGCGCTGGCCAGCGAGCGGTACGACCGCCGGCGGCCGCTGCACCCGCGCCTTCCCTCGCCGGCGCCGTCGCGCCCTTAGGGTACCCCTAGGGTTCTGAGGGCCGGATTGTTTTAAGACCTTTTAGGAAATGAGGAGGTTTGGGGGCTCAAATTGTCATTTAAGAGATTGCAGGCACGGGGGGTCCCTCTTTAAAGTCTGTTTAAGAAAATCGGCCTCACCGGCACGCGTCGCTGGGTTCCGCGCCGTTTTATCCAATACTGCCTTTATTAGGCACAAACCCGCCTCTGAAGACACATCTGTAGGTCTGGTGCACTGGCAGGAGCCATACTCGCATAGGGGACGCGTGCCAGCTGACTGTAGCCAGCTTCCCGGCCTCCGGCGTCTACCGGGAGCCTCCCGGACCATCGACCTCGGGAGCTCTCCCGCACCGTTTAAGCGTTTAAGACCGTTTAAGGAATCGGCGGCCCAGCAGCTCTTAAAACCGGCCTAGGCCGGTTTTAAGCCGTTTAAGCCGCAGGCGCGCGCCCCAGGGCCCACCCTTTTAAGCCTAGGGGTACCCTAAGGTCGCGCCGCGCGCGCCCAACTCTGCTGGCACACGGCACGCGTCGTCACACAGCCGCGGAGAACAGGCGGTGCTGTGCGCGAAGCGCGCGCGATCTCGTACTTGTAAGGCTGGATCGTCCGGGGCCATTCGCATTCCAAGGGGTACGGGGAGCGGACCCTGAGTTGACCAGGGGTTGTGCGCTGGGTCCTCCTGCTCGGCTCCAGCCAGTAAACAAGTCTTGTCATCAACAGAGTAGATGGATCTGACCTCAGGGCTGATGTGACCAAGCGCTGGTAGCGTGGTTTAACCTCACACCCATGGTCTCACAGTGTGCCGGCAGTCGCCGAGCAGTGTCGCTCACACAAGCCGCAGCACAAGAGACTGAGGGCCAGTGAGGGCAAGCCCATCGCTGTCACAGCTGTGGCAGCCGCACAGTGGGTTGTGCCAACTGTGCAGAGCGTGTGAGCAGCAGAGGAGCTGCTCTCCAGGCTTCTGTCGCAAAGAGCTGCATGCCACCGAAAGCGCTGTCGAGGTTCGCCGAGCGCGGCGCAGGTTGAGGGAAGCCGCCACCGACGAGCGCGTTGGACTTTTCACTCCGGACAAAGACGGGGACACAGCGGACGGTGCGGGGTGTGTCCCCGTCATAGCGGCGAGGCGCGGGACCGTCTGTGGCGAGGTGGGTCGCGTCCCTCGATTTCCTCAACTCAGGGTCCGCTCCCTTTATATACCTTTGAGAATCCCCAGCGTCCATCCCTCCTAGTCACACTCTCAATATCTCGACTCTCCAACACGAAGTGCTGCGATCGGCCAGAATCGAGGGGTCCCGTACGCAAGACGGAGGGACGGTCACACTGGAGCGTCACACAGACACACAAGCCAGACGCTCAACACGACCTCAAGACGCGTGGCCGTCCGCCACCTCCTCCGCAGCCGCGCCGCCCGCGGCCCGCTCGCGCGCAACACTCCGGATGCGCTCCGCCCACGCGGCCTGCGCCTGCCTCCGCTCCGCCCACGCGCGCCGCAGCTCCTCCGTCGCGTCCGCGGCCCGGCCCTCCTGCGTGCCGGGGGTCGCCGCGGCCGCGGCCGCCGCCGACGGCAACGAGGCCGCCGACGATGACGCCGCCGCCTGCTGCGGCGGTGGCGCCCCGGACGGCGGCGCGCCGGGAGCCGCGGCGCTCGTGCCGGCGCTCGGGGCGGCGGACGCACCGCCGCCAGCAGCAGCAGCAGCCGTCCTAGCGTTGGCCGCCGGCCCGGTCGCGCCCGCCCCCGCCCCGGCCCCGGCCACCCCGGCCCCGGCCCCCGTTGCTGCCGCCGCGACCACCGCCGCCGACACCGCCTCCTCGGCCGCCTCTTCAGCGTCGGCGACCGCGGCGAGGTGCTGCAGGATCTCGCGCTTGGAGCGGAACAGCTTGGCGCCGGCCGGGCTGTAGTAGTACCGGTCGCGGGTGCCGACCGAAGCCCCCTCCGCCCTCACCCGCTCGACATACATCCACCCGTCCGGCAGGCCGAGCTCGAGCTGCAGCGAGGCGGGCACGGGCAGCGCGTCCTCCGGAGCCGTGCCGCTGCGGCGCCGCGCCGCCGGCCGAGCGGGGCGCGAGGGGGCGGGGGCGGTGGAGGCGGCGGCGGTGGCAGTGGCGATGGCAGCGGAGGAGGTGGAGGATGAGGCGGCGGCCGCGGCGGCCGCGGCGGCCGCGGCGGCCGCGGCCGCGGCCGCGGCCGAGGCTGCGCGCCCGCCTGGCGGCGGTGAGGGCGGCGAGAGGAGAAGCTGATCCCGTGCCGCGACGAGGGCCGCGAAGGCTTGGGCCGCGTGCGGATCGTCATTCTTGTCGGGATGAATGCGCACGCACAGCCGGTGGTACGCCTTGTTCACCTCGGCCGCCGCCGGCCTCGCAGAGACCCTGAGCACAGCGCGCGGGCCGCTCGCTGCCGCGGCGAGCACTCGCGCGACGTGTGCGGCCTCCTTTGCAGCATCACTCTGGCCGAGGGCAATTGCCTGCTCCGCCAGGCTGTGTGCGCGGCTCCAGTCGCCGGCAGACGCGGCGACGCGGGATTGGGACAGCGAGGAGGCGGCCGCGAGCGTCATGACCGCTTGCCCCAGCCGGGCCACGCCACCGCGAGCACGCCTGTAGCCTCTCGTAGCCTCTCGTGGTTCGCAACGCGGGAAAAGAGAATTTCGATTAAGCACGAGCGAAAAGAGTCACGCGGGTTTGCCGTGCCGCGTGCGCGCCCGGCCGCCGACCGCGGCGTGTCTCGTTTTCTCAGAGACTATGGAAAGTTCACGTCATGACGGTTAGCCGCTGTCACGACCGTTAGCCGCTTTCACGACAGCTGGGAGCTGTCATGACAGCAAACGACAGCGACAGTGACACCTACCTGTCACCAGCTGTCACCAGCTGTCACCAGCTGTCACCAGCTGTCACCAGCTGTCACCAGCTGTCACCAGCTGTCACCAGCTGTCGTTGCTGCTGTCGTTGCTGCTGTCATTGCTGCTGTCATTGCTGCTCTCATGAGCACCCCCGCAGGACAGTGTCACAATGGGATGTGGTGCCACTAACGAGAGAGACAGGACACTCAAGATATACACGCACGCGCGCGCGACCGCTCACTCGCTCGCCCGACGCCACATGAGAAACCCTCTCAACAGGAGCCACGCACCGTCAGCAGCAGCGTGAGTCACAGAATCTGCAAAACCCTTGCCCTCCTTCCTCCAGCATGTGCCGTGATGGGCTCCAGCGCTGGTTCATCTGCCGCTCAAAAATCTCACGCGAGCGAACGGCGTCAATCATCAACCGCGAGGATTGGGACCTTGAAATCCACGTCGCAAGCAAACGCGCAGAGCATTGAACACACCTCGGGTATTGAACCTCTTGGCCATTGCCGAGCCACAAGGCGTTGATCAGGAACTCTCATGTAGAGAGCTCGGCTCTGCTACAAGAAAGCAGGCTCGCCCTACACAGAGAAATTGTGAGGTAGAGGAGCAGGAGTTTTGCAAAATGTGTGAGACGTACAAACGCTGCTGTGCATCAAGCGCTGAGAGCTACATCCACGCGCACCGGTGTCTTATTTTAGTCCATGGGGTGTAATGCACAGATGGGTGGGTGGGCGGTTGGGCCCCTTTGCTGGTGCCTGTCACTAGGGCTATGGCTGCCTCACTGTGGCGCTGGCGCTGCCTCGCTGTCGCTGTCGCTGTCGCTGTCGCTGTCACTCGCAGGGCTTTGAACGATCCGCGTGTGAGGTAGCATAGAGGGCCTTGTTGGCAGCAGCCAGCTTGTTGCGCTGCTTCGTTGCGATGAGCTGATTGGGATCGCAGAAGTGCATGCCAAGCACCGACACGATCTTGAAGCAGAACACATCGCAACCGCATCGTCCGCACTGCCATCGGCATGCCGCGCCCGCCGCTTTTCGCCGCAGCCGACATAGCGCCACAGCACATGGTCGGTGTGCGTACTTGAGCAGGCGTTGCGTGACACGATCACTAAACTGAAGAGTGGGGGAGAGCCGCGCACCCCGCGTCCAGCGAATGAAGGAGGGGGTACGAAACTGCAACACCAACTTCGCCTGAGGCGGGGCGGGCACTTTCCGCTAATCCCGGGCGGCCGCACCAGCTGGTCGCTGAGCTCCATATGCTGCGCGTTGTCGCCGTGCTCGCGCTGGCAGCCACTGCTGCTGGGTTCGCTTCGACGGCTAGGCCAGATGGCGCTTCCCTGGAATACTGCCATTCCGGCCCGGACACGTTCGAGGCAGATGTCAGGGTCCGGGCATTCGCACGCTCCCTGGGCCTCGGAACTGAGCTGCGACCAGGTCCCTTTCGCCACCGTTCTAACCACCGCTACCAATGTCTACGGCGGGTGCTCTCTGTTTCGCGGCCATTGCCCTTGCTCGTGCTCGACATACGAAAACAGCTGCCTGCAACCAGAATGCACGCCTTTTGTGCAAGAGCGGTGCACCTTTTCGTGCCCTGAGCAGTGTCAAGACATAGCCTGTCAACCCCGGCAGAGTCCGGTGACTATCGAGTTCTTGAAAGTAAACTGCTGCACGGACCCGTGCCATCCCGCAGATGATGCTTGTGGCAGCCCGACCTGCAACAGCACCACTCTCTGCACCACTCCTTCTCCGCCGGCGGCGCCTCCGCTGCTCCCTCCGCCCCCCCCCGCTTACTGTGGATTGGTTCAGCCGTGGATGGAGGGGAAGAAGGAGCTTGGCTCGGATCAGGCTCGCGCCACACATACACACACGCGCGCTAGGCGCACACGCACACACACGCACCCTCCCACGCCACACTCACGCGCACTCACACGCGGCACCGCACGCACATCTGCATGTGCATCTCCCAGGCCGCACCCGCCCACTCATGACATGACATCTCTCCCTGACGCTGAACCCCACCCCCTGCCCCTGCAGTGCTACCTGTACAACGGAGACCAAACTGCGTGCGAAAGCTACTATGTCGTCGAGCCCTACAACGAGCAGACCAACCCATGGGGCGCGTGGACCGCAGAGTGCGTCTACAACCAATCGGGCAACGAGAAGTGCACGACCGGCGAACACATCTATGCCTGTTCGCCCTTCCCGCCCGGCCTCGCCCCTACGCCGCCGCCGCCACATCCGCCCGGTAAGGCACCGACGCCGCCGCCACCATCGCCGCCCCCCCCGCCGCCCCCTCCGCCGCCACCGTCGCCGCCCCCCTCATCACCCTCGCTGCCGCCGCTGCCGCCCTCGTCGCCGCCGCCGCCGTCGCCGCTCCCCGCACCACCCTCGCCGCCACGACCGCCGCCCGACCCGCCATCGTCGCCGCCCTCACCACCCTCACCACCCTCGCCGCCACCGCCGCCGTCGCCACCGCGCCAGCCGCCGCCCTCCCCATTGCCGCCGTTGCCCTCCCCACCATCTCCGCCCCCCTCGCTGCCGCCGCCGCCGCTGTCCCCGCCTGTACCAGCCCCAGAGCCAGCCCCAACGCTCCCGACGCCAATCGCAATCCCCTGCATCCCCCCCGGGCTTGGCGGCGACCCGTGCCTTGCTGATGATGACTGCTGCGATGGCACGGCCTGCGTGGAGGTGGAGTTCGACTCCGCCGATCCGAGCGAGGCCACGACAGGTATGCACTGCCTCGACTCGTCGTATCAGAAGTACACGCTCCGCAACGGCGCCTGCGGCGTTCCCTCCTTTGTGGTTCTGGCCGCCCCCGTCACCAACGGCGACTGGTGCGGCCAGGCACTTGATTGGAGCACTGATCCGACTTACATCGAGGCGGACCAAGCAAAGTGCACGGAAATTTACATCCAGCAGGACAACTTTGCAATGCCCTGCAAGTACGTTCCGTCCACAGCCGACGGGGACGGACCGTACGAATGCAAAGGTGGCAGCAACAAGACGACCTACCTCATGTGCTAGTGCGATCAGCGGAGCCGGCAGCCGCCAGGCGCCCGCCCCGGCGGTTCACTCTGCGGTCTCGTGCTCCTCCCTCTGCCCGCTTGGCTTCGCGATTCGCGCCGCCCACATGTCGCGCTTCGCGCCGCCCACATGTTGGAGAGGGGCAGATAGACGGGGAAGTGCACCGGCACTCTCTGCAGTCTGCACTCTCTGCTCTCTCTCGCACAATCATCTCCTGTGGCGCATCGTGTTTTTGCCTCGCGAGTGCCTTCTCGCAAAAGTCGAGACGTGTGTGTGTGTGGGTGACAGTGCACTGATCATGGGCGAGTAGCACTGATTATGGGCGAGTAGCGATGTAAACCTGGGGGTGCTTTCTAAGTTGAACTTTACTCTGTCGCCAACCAGACACACACGTCAGACACACGGAACCCGACAAAACAGTACTTTGTTGATCACGTAATGCCACACACAGCCGCCACTCCACGAGTCTTTGCACAGCTCACTAGCACACGTAGCCAAAGTTCTCCAACTGGTAGCCCAGGCCCAGCGCACCGTGGTCGAAGCCGAGAAGCCATGCTGCCGCCGCCCGTGGTGCGGGTGCCTGCTGCTCAGCCGAATGCGCCGGCGCGACGGCCGACTGTGGACGCTGTGCGCCGTCGGTGATGATTCGCCGCGGCGGCGGGGCGAGCCAGAGCGTGAAGGGAGGCCGTCATCGCCTTCGCCTTCCTGGGACCCAGCGCTGACTTCTGACTGTCGTCGCTGTCTTTCCCCCTTCTCGACTGTCTGTGCTTGTGCGTCTTGGGTCCGGAGTTGTGCGTTTATGTGAAGGGAGGCATTGAGGAGCGGCCGGTCCTTGGTTTGGAAGCTGTTCGAGAGTGCCCACACCGCAGAGCCACCTGGCGCCGGTTTTCTCTTCGGTTTCCAACTTCTTTTTCTCTTGCAAGAGGCGCTCGTTAACCCTGGTAGGTGGACAAAAGTATGCCCATACAAAGTAGTTTTTTGTTGTTATCCGAGATCATATGGAGCTCACCACAGGGTTTGCGGCGATCACTCTGGGCCGGCGCGGGCCCCCCCGGAGGCACCGTGCGCCGCGCAGCAGTGCGGAAACGGGGCTCCGGCTCTATGAGTCTCTATGAGCACCGACTTCCCGATTAAGTACGGTTAAGTAGAGGGCAGATTTGGAAAGATCTCGAGGAGTACATACAGATAGACCCTCCAACCACCAGAAAACTCCGACCTGATCGGTCGTACTGACCGCCGACAGATCACTCCAGACAGCAGACAGGCCGACGTCTGCACGTGGCCGGCCGGGCGAGAGGCTTGACACGATCCGACCCTGCGACCCTGACGCTGCTGCTCTAGCTATCAGCCATGCAATGCTGACTGCTGCCACAATGTGCGACCGGTGCTGGCCCACTTGGCGGCCTTCCCGGTCAGTGGTGAGGCGCAGTTCAGAGCTGTCGATGGCGCGATGCCGCACTGGCCCCACATTGGTGACACGAGACCACCAAGTTTGCCGGTCCAAGAGAGAGGCACCGGCGCTGTCCTCACCTGAGAAGGTGCGTGGTCCCTCTTGACTGCCCATGCGCGCGAGGCTGTGTAGGCATAGCCTCGAGAGTGCCAGCAGCCAATCCGAGGATGACGCGCATTGCGCCAGAAGCGTGCACGCAGCTGGAAGGACACCTTCCTACTGGCCGTACGATCAGGTCGTCA